TGAAGATTTTTACGAAGCAAAGTCTAAAACGAATATTGATGTATAGAGGTAAAAATTTGGACCACGTTCCCCACAGATATCATTAAGAGTAATCCTCTCTTTTGAACCACTTCTGGTTCTCTGCAAGAGTACAAACCTGTCTGGCTCCAATTTTTATTATGACTAAATTATCGAAAATGGTGGGATCAATGTTCGAGAAAAAATTTTAAAAGCAGCTCTTCTGAGGTTTTTGAAGGAACCTTCAAAAATCACTGGACCTGGTTACGATCCTGATCTCACTTTGTTCGATAAGGCTGAAAAGTGTTTATAAGTTCCACAGTAGTTTTTGACCAAACAACAGGACATATGTAGACTTGTAAAGGAAGACTTCCTCTATTAAATGATATAGATATTATCCAGTGTGATAACCGTTTAAAGGAATCCAACGAGTTAAGGGGAAATATGGATACCATTGTAGAGGCACATGAAATCGCGCGATGGCACATAGACTTAGCACGAAATACTAGCCGCCCATAGAAAATAAATGTTTCCAAAATACAGATTTTTATTATTAGTTGTGTTCCTATTGCAATGTTTTCAGATTTGAGGCTTGTGATATTAAATTTAAAAGTTCTAGTTCGTTTTGTTTTATTCAAATCTGCACACTAATTGGTATAATTTCTATGCTAAGCATTTCATGAAAGCAAATATGCACTGCGATTTAAGTTTAGAAGAATGAGTTTCAGCATTCAACTAGTTGTATTAGCTAATTCGTTTCATTTTACAACACAGCTTTTTAGTAATCAATTGAAACAATCACATGCGGCAAACCAAACCATCTAATGTTAGAAGCGAATCAACAAAACAGCTGTCCTACTCGTTTAAGACGTTTCATCTTGAGCTGAATTATATTATCACACAGAACCATTCGTATAACTGTTTAATGAAGTGTTTCCATCAAAATAAGTGAACGATCTTATAGGATAATTCAACTTATAGCGTGAAAGAATCCGATCAAAACTGCTCAACACGCATGGCAATTAGACTACACATGTGAAGTTTTTGAAATATTTTCTTTCAATCCAGTATTTTTTTTAGTCAATATGGATTTTCCATTATACGATTTCATGTGCCTCTACAATGGTGTCCACATTTTCCCTTAACTCGTTGTTTCCCTTAAACGGTTACCACAATCAAGTTTTATTGCATACTGTAAATATACCAATAGATGGCGTCATTTTCGCTATGTTTTGCTAGAGTTACGACGAAGGTAGTACCAGCTATCAAAATCTCTACGGTACGCAATAGAACTTGATAATACCTATATCATCTAATAGAGGAAGTCTTCCTTTACAAACTAACAGAAGTCCCGTTGTTTAGTCAAAACTTTATAATCGCCTTGTGTCCTAAGTACATCCAAAAAAGTTTTAGCCCGATCGGACAAAGCAAGGTTGGAGTCGTAAGCAGGCTCGATTGGTTTTGAAGATCCATTCAAAATCCTCCGAAGACCTGCTTTTAAAACTTTTTCCTCAAATATGTGTCTCATCATTTTCGATAATCTAGTTGCGGTGAAAATTCCAGTCAGATGAGTTATACTCTCATGGAAAATCAGAAGTGAGCACTCTGCAGGAACCATCACAGTCACCTTAGCAACGTCTCTCTATCATCATAGATCATGACAGACATAATCGCGAGATCAAAGTCCACTGAGGGATTCGTCTAATAGTGGTCCTTTATTTTAGTTTCACACTCATTGGAATATATTCCAATTAATATCTTTCATCATCGAGATGCATTAACAATAAGTAGAAATTGATAAACTGACACATATATTGATTAATTCCTAATTTTACAATACCAGCAGTTCTATCGTGTTTTCTTTTTGTTTTGAGAAAAGACTTTGAAGAATAAAAGGCAATAGCAACTTTTGGTAGATTTTGTAGCATGTTGTTTTAAGCACAAATATACGTTTTTCAATTGAACTTCTTCTAGAATGAAGGTAAGACTGTATATTAAATATTTTTTTGTAAATACAAATCATTAAAATTTCGAAAATGAAAGTTATAAACTGACAAATTTTAAGTTATTTGAACAGTACTGCAAACTTGACAGTCTGAAAGTTGTTAGAAATATATTTTTTTTTCTCTTAAAAAGAATCAAACAAATAGACTTACAAGAATATTTTCTACTTTGATAGAATATTCATCATTGTCTTATGTTGTTTGCTGATTCAAAAGACGTATCGTCTGATAAAAATATCTCGAACATTGACAGTTATCATTAATTAGATCTTAATTCAAATTTAAAACGATTTAACATAAACTTTCCCAAGCAAATAAAAAAAGCTAACGATGGGTGCGACGAGTGGTCGAAATTTCATATATATTTTTTTTCTCTCATTCTGTTCAATATTCGAACCCCTCGGTACCCATCGAATATCGACCTCTTGGAAACATACTCCTATCGGACATTCATTTGCGGCTCCTCGGATACATTTCGACCACTCGAGAACCATCAAATTACCGACTACTCAAAGAGGAAAAACCCATCGGACAACTACTTTCGATTACTCGATATAATTTCGAGCCCTCCGAACCTATCGAAATTTTGATTACTCTCTCTCAGCAAACCTAGCGACGAAACAGTTTTCATTATTCACTTCAATTTTGATGAGCCGAAACTTCTTGAAATTCAGTTTTTTTAGTGATTCTCCACTTTGATTTGGTGATCTCATGCCACCAACTTTAGTTCGTTGGACACTTAAAAATAATTACTATTAGAATAGCAATCACATTCTGGATTGTTCCTTGAGTTTAAAAGGTTATTCTTTTATATATACATGGCTATGCAGCAGCCACCTGTTTGGCATGCTAGATACAATAAGAATAGCTATATGACGATGTTTACCCTACGCTTAGCTTTTTTATCTTATAAAAACTGATATCTAACATTGATATTAACCTATTTATTATTTCCAGATTATAAACAATGGATTCAGTATGTGTAGTTAAATTTGGTGGAAATGAAGTAAGTTTTGTTCCAGCAAGCTGCATACACTCAGCAAAAAACGCGAAAATGGAAGTAAATGTTGATTATTTATTTCTTGATAAAAATGATAGACATCGACGTCTTCAAGGTAAACTCCTGTTTAAAGGTAAGATTAGATAAAACCATATATTTACTTGTATATTATATCATATTCTTCTTGACGACTATTAATAGAAACAGTCGAGGAATGTGAAGAATATTGTGAGGATGATACTTCTTTAACAGTTGATAAATCAACATGGTTGCCTACTGTTGCCTCCGAATCCAATACCAATAACAAAGTAATGAAATGTACAACATTTAAACAAAAAAAGCGAAAAAATGAATCTAAAGAACCTGAGTTTACTGGAAAACAAATGAAAACAAATTCGTCAATTGCGATTGTTAAGAAATCAACTCAAATTGATAAAACAACAAAAAACAATCAACAAAATGCATTTGATAATCAGAAACGACAACCTAACGAAAATAATACCAATGATGAATCTGAATCATCCGTTTCAACTACGAAATCTTCAATCGTTGTAGATCTTTCTAATAACGATTCCTTTGACAATAATATGTCGTCGAAATGTTCAGCTCATTTGAAACAATCTCAACAACGAACAAAATTAACACGAGTTGGTCGACAAGAAAATGACACTATTTCTAATGATAATATAGAATCGGATGATGAATTAATTTTACCTCGTCATATTCAACTTGAATTAAAGAGTAATAGAAAACGAATTCTTAATCTGGAAAATCAATTGAAAGAATTGAAACATACATCCATTCGTAAGTTATTTTTTGTTAATTAATTTGATTCAGTAAAGATATTTTTACTAATTTCAGCATTTCCAACAACTGAAAAAAGTGATTATTTGCGCCGTGTGTTGGCTGTTGTTGATATGCGTGATGAATTAGCACAAACAGGAACAATTAATGTGAGTTAATTTTAATACGATATTAGCATTTTTTATTGTCAATTTCTCGTTTTTCGATTTAGTATGGGCAACTGTTAGGTCTTACTAATTTTGAATTATTAGAAGCAACTGGTAATGGACGATTACCATGGAAAAAAATTGTTGTCAATTTAATACAAGCTTGTTTCAAGAATGTGGATTTGCAATATGAAAATTATACATCACTTCGAACTCGTAATAAAGATTTGATTGATAATATTTCAGGTGAAAATCATAAGCGAAATTTTTTTTTTCAATATCTGCTAGTATAGATAACTTTCATTTGATATCAATGTAATATTAGTAGAAGAGCACTTATTTTATGTATATATGAAAGTTTTTTACACATTATCTCATCTATTTTAGCTTACGTCAAAACTGTTTGTTCTACTGCTATGTTCACCAATACAGAATTTTCAAGTTGTATTTCTGGTAAATGTCATCATATGAAAAGTGATAACAAGAGAAAAGCCAATAAACTCGCTTTTCGTTAAATGTTTCAACAACAAGATGATTATCTTATGGTTGTTACTAACAATAAAATATTACATTTGTGATATAATCAGGAACAATATGTTGTCAAGTAAATAAACAACATTTTAATTAAGCAGTATTTTCTTTTCATTTTTTACATACTTTTCTTTGTTTTATACCTGTAATACATTGAAGTCTTTCTTCCTATGCTCTTACTTTAATACCATTTCCTCTACAGTTAAACCCATTATTGTACTTGATTACCGATGTTCATTTATTGTATATTTTTTATTTTTCGTTGGCTTTTGTCGATTTGTTCATTATGAGTAATATATCAAGATTCAGCTTGATCATGTTGTTGTATGGTTAAGCATTGTTGATTCAATTCATAATAGTTAATAAACATATAAATAATAACTTCATCTTATACTTGTTGAATTTGTCAAGATAATGTCGGAGGTTGACAACACATCAAAGAAAGCTTCAATTTCTCACAGCAGAATTTTTCAATTCTTATGTTATTGTTTCAATTCTGTATTTTTCATTTTTTTAAAGATGATTCGAAGGACTTTTTATAGAAAACGAACTCGATTACAAAAATGGGAACAATCAAAATACGATTTCATTACTTCCAAGACATCTATCGTCAATCAATCTCAAGAAATATTTGAAAATCAAAGTGGTACGGAGCTATTTCTTTTAACACTTCTTAAACATAACTATTGATTCTAGAGTCTATATCATCTGCACCTATGAAAGTCGAAGAAATTAAGGAATACAAACCAGAACGTATTGAATCAATGGATCCATTGGCAACGACAACTACTGAGATAATAAATGGTAAAATGAAATATTATTTTCGATTTTGTACAGATCTTAGCATAGTTGGTTATGTGTTGAGGATATTTTGAGTTTGAAATATACAAGTAAGTTTTATTTGCTAATTGCCATTTATATCAAAACCACAAAATCTATAACTGTATCTAGATGGATTCAACTTTAGACGAAGCGAAATTCATCTCATTTTGCTAGATAGAGATACATTTGTTTGTTTAGCATGTACGTCAACGTTGTTACGACGATCACAACCAACTCGTAGTGATGTTGCTGCATCAGCTGTAATCTGCAAAGTTCGAAGGCAACAAAGCAACAGTGACATAAATACATATTGTAGGTTTTTGAAAGCACTAAATGGCCCTGATATACCTACTTCTTGGGAATCTATTAAAATAAAAATGAAATTAGATGTCTCATCGAAATGGTTTTGTTATAAAATTTGTAACGCGTGTGGTATGAACAGCAGTGTCCAAGGACTGAGAAATAGGAATTCCTAATTTGCAGAGGAATTGTCAGTGTAGCTATGATAATTCCTTGGAGAAATGGGAATTGACCATTATTTCCATCACAGTTCCCTCATTCATGAAAGTCAAGATACTGCTTTTTTTGCAATAATTTTCGTATTCATACGTTCGTGTGCACAACTTTCTTGATGAAAACGAGTGTAAGAGTAATAAGTACCGTGGATATTGTATTTTTTTAATTTTAGCATTCAAGGAGATGTCAGGGAACTGAGTAGGAATTCCTATTTCTCAGTCCTTGGGCACCCCTCGATCGAAGCCGAGCAGCATGACTCTCCTGTTAAAGGACATGCTGGTAAACGTTGTCTAAGTAATGTCTCGGATGCCTGGATTTAACCAGATTATTTGGGAGAGTCTTTCAGAAGAAAATTTTATATAATTATTTGCTACCATATATGTTGTAAAATTTATTTGTTTTAGGTCCTTGTCCTTTAACAAAATTAAAATATTATTCTTTTGGTGAATCAATACCCTTTGGTTCATTGCATACATTATATTTAGGTGTATTTAAAAAATTTTGTTTGTTGACTTTTCCAAATCGAAAATTGGTCGTCGATAAAAATGGTCGCTTTATAATAAAATAAATAGTATTGATCAAGGGTTATCTTCTGTTAAAATTCCAACTACTACAAGTCGAAGATTTCGAACAATAAAACATATTGCACGTTTCAAGGCGAACGAATTCAGATCTTTAATGCATCACGATTCAACAGTAGTGTTACAAGCAATATTACCAAAATATCGTCGACATTTTGCATTGCTATTAGCTGCCGTTAACATTGCGTCTAAAGATGTTATTGACAATTATGATATAATATTAGTCAAAGGATTACTACGTCAATATGTAAAAGATTGGCAAAAGATATTTGACCTTCGTCATATGTCATCCAATATACATTCACTTTTACATATTCATGAATCAATACAATATCTACGTCCTTTATATATGTATAGTACTTTTAATTTTGAAGGTTAGTTTGTAGACTACGCGTTGTTATTATATATAATTCTCTATCATGCATATTATCTCATAATAATGAGAACAAAAGTATAGATAAATGTTGATAGAGATTATTTCATTTTTTTTGCTCGAACGATAAATATTTTGTTAAATTGAAGGAAAAAAAATCATCATCAATTATTAGCTGATGCAATTATAATTACATTTTGACATCAGTAATAAAAGTAATACAACGAGTTTGGTCGCTTTAAATTCATTTAAGGTGGTTTCACTCGTTTGTAGCGATTTGAAAAAGAGTCATGTTTTTAGAATATCATGAGTTATCAAAATTCAATGTTAAATGAGCTATAACTACCTGATCATTTATTTCTCACTATTCTTTCATTTTCTACACATTATACAAAAATTGCTAACAATTCAACAGTTTTTATCGTCGGTTTAAAAAGAATTTCTCAGGCTGTATTTATTCTTAATTACTATTTCAGGCATTGGTCATGACCTGGTGTGCATGATCCATGGTATGATACACTATGGACCACAATTAATTTCAAATTTACAATATTATCGACAAGCTATAATTGATGTATGCAAACGTGATTATCCAGAAAAACTATTTTATTTTAATGAAAGTATTCTTAGTCGCAAATTAGTATCAAAATAAGGAATACACGTGGGAAAACAAGTGTCTTTTACAAATTATGTTGATGAGATGAAGCATTTGAACTTAACTACAAAAAGAAAATTCTTGTATCATGATGAATTAGTCATTAAACATATCAAATATAAAACTTTATCATCCACAATATCTCGTAAATTCGCCGATTTTTGTGTTTCATTTATATTTGGACGACAAACTAAATTAGGACTTATTAGAACAATTGTAACCGATCCAAATGATAGTGGAAAAATATTTATTGTATTGGAAGATCTTATTGATGAACTCGCAAGACATTATTTATTACAATTTAAAACGAATAATACAACATTCTCAACAATTCCAAATATTTACATTCGAAAACGTTCTTCGTGTCTTGTTCTTAGATCGTCATCGCATATTTTGCATAAACATTCGTACAGATTTCTTAATGATGAAGAAACTATTGAAATAATCGAATATTCAAATCTTAAAGAGAGCAGTTGAGTGAGATTTGTCGTATTTTTTTCTAACATGTTTTCGATTTTTTTTCAACTGTAATTGATAACAAAGTACTTTATATTTGTTCATAAAAATTCCAGTTCATACAGGAGACTTATAACAACTCGGATTATTTTGTCAACTATTAATGGTAACGAATTTCTCTAAATTTTTTTCGAAAAAATTAGCCAAGATTATACATTAATTTTTTTTCATTAATCGTATCAGTCTCCTCCTATTTTTTTTTCGAAAAATAAATTATTCAATATTATATATTAAAAAGAATTTTTTTCTTTCAAAATAGTCAAGATTATATATTGAATATTTTTTTTATTAATATTAGCAATTTCCTCTCATTTTTCTTTTGAAAAAACAATTAGTTCAGATCATACACGAAAAAATTTTATCAGCGTTTTATATATTTCATGATGGAACACAAATTTATTCAGGCTGAGAATGTCATATTTAGATCATCTGGTTCATGCAAGCTTCGTAATCGTAAGTACATATGTTCGAATCTACTGGTCTGCATTTATTTCCGATAGATCCCGAGGGCTCTGATATTCGTAAGTATATATGTTCGAGCATACTGTTCTGCAATTATATACGATCAGTGTCGACTGCTCGAAAATAAGTGGTGGTAAAAACTTTTGAAAATTATCAAAAATTCGAGTGGTCGAAATTTCGATTGCTTGGAACCTTGTAAAACACCGACCACTCGATATTTTGCAACTTTCGTTTCACTTAGAACCCATCGAGAAAGGTCGTTCGTTGGGTATTGGAATAGTCCATCGAAACCAATAGGAGCAAACACAAAAAAGGGGTCGAAAATCATAAATAGCGTGGTCATCAAGTACCGATCGGAATTGACATTTCGATCCCTCGAAATGGAAGATTATAAACTGCAAAATACTTGGAAAAGCAACCCATCGCAGATCCCTCGACCCATCGGAGAATGGCAATCCCAGGTGTCGATTTGGAATTCCGATGCCCATCGAAAGCTTAAATGGACGCGTCGAAAAGCCTATCGAATGGTTGGTTGGATTTATTTTCAATATGGGTCTAATAAGCTTATTTACTTATTTTTGTTCTTGCACGTGACGAAACCAGAAAATGTGTTCTCGAAAAATGTCAATACGCCAACATTTAAGAATAACTTGTGAAAAGCTCAAATAATAAAATCTTAAAATATACAATACTATTAAGAACTTCTTTGTCAAATGTTTAATATCGATTAAAGTAAATTTATTGTCTGAACTTTTAACTGATGATATTTTACACGAATATAAACATTGAATGAATTAGTTCTTACAAGGTAATATCTTCAACTGGCAGACATTCTTTGATCAGATATTATGGATATGAGTAGATCTGTCTAAGAACTAAAAAATGCCTAAAAGGATTTATTAGTTAGAGCAAAGCATTTCCGATAATATCAAAAATGAAGAGTTTTGACATGAAACTTTTTCTTCTAGTTTGATCAAATAATCATTAGAAAATTCCGAAAATTTCATAAGAAAAGATCATATCGTTCTTGAGATATTCAATTTTCTAAATAAGAATAGCTACTTACAACGGAAGGACACAATAGTTCAATCTATTTCAAAGTTGAATCATTCAGGAAGAACAAGTTCGTTTTCTGCAAAACTTTCAGAACTTTCTAATAATTATTTGATAAATCTAGAGAAAAAATTTCAAGTCAAAATTCTTCATTATGATATTACCGAAAATGTCTTATTATAGCTAACAAATCTACTAAGACGATCGTAACTTTTTACCAGTAGATGATGAGTCCGAAGCAAGTGAGAAAAAAAACAAACAAGACTTCGATACTCTGAATCCATTTTTTGGCTTTTCTTAGTCTCACAGAGACCTAATCATGGCCCTAATATCAAATCGAATGAAGTCTGACTGTTGGAAATACTTCCTTGTTAGATTTAAAAATTTTGAAATCAAATTTATTTATTATTAATAAATCAGATGATAGAAAAAAGTTTAACAACAACGTATTTTCGATTGTTTTTCTATAATGTTAAGCATCTACCTCAAATTCTAATAGTGCTTTTTAATAGCCAATGAAGTTTTCTATTTAATTTATTCTATATGAAAATTTCATAGATGAACTATAATGACCGGGCTTTTTAAAAAAACTGGACACAATAGTTTGAAGGTCGTAGAAGATTGTGTAAGTGCTAGTTTTTAACAATGTCATTTTAAAGAACATAAATTCTGAACAAAATAAAGAATCGCCGCGTTTTTCACGACCTTCTCTTAAAAACTTAAAAATATCACAACTGAAAAAAAAAGCGTCATTTTAGTTAGAATTTAGTGTTCTTTAAAATGGCAATGTTAGAAAATAGTTCCGGCAAAGTCTTCTGTGGTTAGAAAATTACCGTATTCCATGTTTGAGAAACTTTGTCATGATAAGTTCATCTGTGAAATCTTAGTATAGAATGCATTATATAGAAAACTTGATTGATTATTATAATCATCAAATAGATTGTTGTTAAACTTTTTTTTTCCATCATCTTATTATAAACATTATATTTCAATTTTAAAATTTTTCCTTTGATCAGTTTTTTGACGAAGTTTCATTTTGCCTTGTTCAGTTAAATTACAGTTGTTGATCCAAATTCTTTTTAATGTTCGATTATGTTCAAACATTTCAATAAGATAATTAATAGATGAATCTGTTATAAATATATTCATTGAAATAGATAAAACTTTCAATGTTTTATTATGATAAGCTAATACATAAGCTAATTCTTTAATACCTTCATCACCAATTTCATTATTTGATAACCATAATTCTTTTAATGTATGATTTGTTTTAAGCATTTCAGATAAATATTTAAGTCCTTTATTTGAAATATTATTTTTACTAAGATAAAGAATTTGTAGAGATGAATTTTGATTTGATAAAAGTGCTTGACTTAATGAATATACACCATTATCACAGATTTGATTAAAAGATAAATCAAGACTTTTTAATTTTGAATTATTTATTAAACTTGATGCTAATATTGATGCACCATGGGATGTTATTTTATTTCCATGTAACCAAAGGTCTGTACATTTTCTATTATTAATAATTTCATTAACAACAATTGACATATCAGCATCAGTTAAATGACAATAAGATAAATCAACATGTAGTTTTGGTTCCAATTGACTAATTTTTTCTTGAAGTTTTGGATTAAAATAAATTTCAGATTTGAAAGTTTGATTATTGGTATCTTTTGATAATGTTGAAGTAATAGGATGTAAACGAAATGATATTGATTTTGAATGTTGAAATGTTGATTCAACATCATTTAATGCAAAAGCAATATTAATATTGGCATGTAATTGTATTTTTTTTATAGAAGAATTTTCTTGAAGTTTTTTATTTGATATAAAAATTTCAGAAGAATTTTTTTGATTGATAACATTGGTCTTGTTTGACATCATTTTATCACTTATAAATAATAGAAATGAGAAAAAAAAAAGACTTCATAAAATTTTTTTATAAATTAGAAATCAAAGATTTGTTTTTCTATTCTGATTAGAATACAGTTTCGAAGAATCTACGAGAAATTAAAAAGGATTCATGTATATGAGCTTCTTTCTAAATTAATATAGAATTTTAGTATATTGCAAGAGATTCTGACAAAAACAAAATCGATGCTTTCATCTTGAGATGTTTACTGTGAAAATAAATTCGATTTTTACATTCTCTTGAAATTTTACTGATCAATATTTCTTTTAGTAAGCTACAAATTTGTAATGTGTAAGGATGATGAGCTCAGAATGAAGTAGTATGAGTACGAACTACTTAATATTTTCCTATTCTCATTAAAATCTATTTCTCACAAGTACTATAAAATTCTAAACCACAAAGAAGTTTCAAATAGAAAAAATAATAAAGATTTCTCATGTAGTATTTATTCATTCAAAAAATATGGAAGTTTTTGAAAATGTATTATTGTATATTACCATCTGACCTACATTAAATATTTATATTACTGAAGCAACCATATAAGCCTATCTACACATTTTCTATAGCATATAGTGATAACGATTCTAAAAATTCTGATTTTACATACAATACATTCAATTTGAATGAAGCCAAAGTGATACAATTGATTCCTTTAACATATAGTTCTATATATTAGGTTAACATTATTCTCACATAAAATTAACAGAAAAGAAAAAAATTATTTTTCTAATAAATCAATAAATAAAAATAAAAATATTGAATATTATTGACTGAGGTATCATATACTGCTTTATTGTTTGTTTCTAATTAAAACAATCTCAAAGTTTGTTATTACTTTTTCATTTACCTGTATTTCACGTGTATATAGAAAACCACACAAGCAAAATATAATGAGTATTCGAATTAATTTTTGATGTCTATCATTTTTCTTTCTACGACATAAAAATCAACGAATGAAAAAAAGAACCAATAAGCTGTACATTCTCCTACTCGATATATTTTTCTCTATATGCACTATGACTGCTACCTGAAGGATGCTTTCGTTATTTTATATCGAATGATAAAGAAAAAAAAAAACGTATTTGCATTGATTTTTACGATCATTATAACTTGTAGATAAGATATTAGTTATCCAAATTTTTGATCAAAATATTCGGGGTATCGAGTTAATTTTATGAAATGAATATAAGAAAAAAAAACATACTATAATAAATGCTGAAAAATTTTTTAATAATATTGTTTCTTATGTATCTTAGCGAACGAGCATTTTATAATGTTATGTTTTGTAATGGTAGTCCATAATGTTGTCTCTTAGAGATGGGATTCGTTCGTGTTTGATTAATCTTTTTTTCTGGAATCGAAAGAACATAAATGACATCATGGATGTATTGTAATGAAGCAGTCAGTTTTGTTCTTTGGCTATGAGATTTTCTTAAAAAGTTTTAAAATTTATCTTTGAATTAATTTAATGGAAAATATGTTGTTCTAAAACTTGTAATTTTTAGTTTCAAATCAATGTCTTATTTGT